AATGACCTCATGGCTGACTCGCTTGTTGCAGCCACGCAGAATGTGCACCAAGTCCCTCCTGCTCTGTTCCCTCATCTTCCGCTTCCGCCTGTTCCGATACTTGCGCCCCTTCTCTGGGAGGAGTGGGTTTCCTGGCATTCTGCGCAGGAGCCCGAGTGGGGACTGGACACTTTGGGTCCGTAGCCACTTGGGCTCAGGGTTGTTCCCTCACGCCATCGGGCTCAGGGTGCTTCTTCACGCCAGCGGGGTTTGACCGTGGTGTCTTTCGCGTCGAGAGCGCGGAAAGCCATCCGCGACCGCGTGGCTTCGTTCAAGCCTCGGGGGAACGCGAATATCTTGAAGTTCGGGCAGATGCTGATCGATGCATCCGCAGACACCTGTCTCCCAGCGCCTCTCCCACCTGCCTGGAACAAGGCAATGGAGGAGGCCCGGGCCGGAGTCGCCACGACGCCTCCCATGACTAGGAAGAATCGGCGCCTCCGCAGACAGGCAGCAGTAGGAGCCCCAGCAGCAGCAGCCGGACCTGCGGCCGAGGCCGGCGGCGTGGCGGGCCCGGCTCCCAAGCAGGCGAAGAAGGAGGCGGAGGAGGAGAGGACGCAGGTGAAGGAGGAGCCTGAGGCCGGCGGCGTGGCGGGCTCGGCTCCCAGGCTGGCGAGGAAGGAGGCGGAGGAGGAGAGGGCGCAGTGAAGGAGCAGGCGGTGAACGAGAACGAGGCCGCCGAGGGGGGCAGGGCCAGTGGGCGCAAGGTCTTCCTGGGCGCGCTGGAGGGCGAGGGGCTCTCCACCTCGACGCAGACGTCCCAGGACTTCGACGCCGCCGCGGAGGAGGAGCCGCGCCGCGGGCTGGGCAGCCCGGCCTGGGGCTGCGAGACCCTCGCAGGAGACGGCCCTTCCCCGCGCACCTCTCCGGAGTGGCCGGATCTGTCGTTCCCGGCGCTCGCGGCCCCGCCAGCCTCCCCGCAGTGGCTGGATGGGTCGCTCCCGGTGCTCCTCGCGGGACAAGGCTGTCTGCCGGGGGGGGTCCCCCCCCCCCCCCCCCCTTTTGAAAAAAGGGTGGGCGGGGGGGGGCCCCCGCTTGGACGTAGGCGCGTCGGGTGTGCCGGGGGGGTGTGGGGCCTGGGGGGGGCTGGGAGGGGTGGCGGGGGGGGGATGTAGGGTAGAGTTGACGAATTAGGACAGGGGCTGTCCTGTGCGCGAACCGCGGCCGGCGGTGCGCTCTCGGGTGGGCGTTCCTTGCGTGGTGCCTCCGGCCCATGAAAAAATCATGGAGGGGGAAGAGGAGGAAGAGGAGGAGGGTGAGGAGGTGGCGGTGCTCTCGGATCTCGCCCCCGCCCTGGGGCGCTGGAGCTCTCGGCCCCATCCCTGGGCCCTGGGGTCCCATCCCGGTGATCTCGAACCCCGGCTGAGCGGGGGAGAAGCGCTGAGAGTGGTCTTTGTGTTACTATGTGTGCCAGTGGGGGTTCATCGCGTGTTTCTTTCTGATTCGTCCCGTCGCGCACTTCAATTCTTGCAAAGCATGCGCCCTGGGCGCCGTTGGCCTTCCCAGGGCCCTATGGCGTCTCCAGGGGGCGCGTCGCGGCATGGGGCGCGCAATTGCGTGGCGTTCTTCGCGCCTGCCTGCAGTGCATGCGCGGCCCCCAACGTGTTCATGCAACAGCCCGCATTCTGTATAAAGCTTCTCCTGCACCCCGGAACGGCCCCAGAGGCGCCCAAGAGGCCCCGGGGGGCCTCCAAGAGGCTCTCTTCCCTCCTGCCCACCCTGGCGCGTGTGGCCCTTGTGAACTCGGCGCCTCTGTCCCCTGTGACCCTTGTGACCCTGGTTTTTGCGACCCTGTTGCCCTGCGTGCGGCCCTCTGGTCTTATGGCCCTCTTGGCCATCTGGCCTGGTAGCTGCGTCTATACCAGTGCTTGCCCAGTCTGCGTAGATAGCTGCGTCGGTTCCACTCTCGAAGCGAGCCCTCCCTGTTCCCGCCTGCGGCGCCGGGCCGTGCCGAACGCCTTTGGAAAAAATGCCAGAGGGGCATTTCTGGCTGCAGATGATTCCTTCCGGCCTCGTGGCGAGCCCTCTTCGAGGAGATGAAGAAGGAGTTGGCCGACGACGTGGCCAGGGGCAAGGGGGCGCTCCAGAACGCCGCGCGCGAAGGCGCGGGGCGCATTCGGCGCTCGTCAACAATGACTACGATGTGCGCCCCGCGCTGACGGTGACGCGGTGCCGCCCGAGCGCCCTTGTCCAGGCGGGCTAGATGAGCGATGCCAGGGCCGCCGGCGCCGGTGCAGTTCGCGTTCAAAACCGTCGAGGACCGCTTCGTCTTCGGCGATCGACGATTCTCCGAGCGCTCCGTAGCTGTGGCGTGCGCCACGGAGATGAAGGCGAAGCCCGTTCGGGAGTTCGTGCGCCATGAAACAGGGGCCAAGGCGGAGGGGGGCAAGGGCCGCGAAGTACTGTGCCAACCGCGCGGCGGCTAAGTAGTTGCACGCCGTGGCCGCGCGATTGGGCCAGGGCGCGACGCGCCGTGCGCGCGAGTAGCTCGCGTGGGGCGAGGCTGCGGCCATGGGCATCGAGGAAGGCATCATGACCGTGATCGTCGCCGAGCAACGCTTCGTCGTCACCCGCCGCGTCAATGGGTAGGAGACGCGTACCTGCGAAGCCCTTGGCGAGGAGGAGGAGGGTGACCGGGACAAGAGCGGCGCCCGACCGTGGAATTTTGAAAGGCAGCGCGAGGGGCCCCCAGCAGCGCGACTTGGGCAGCGCCGCGCAACGCCACGGGAGACGCAGCGCGTGTCGGCAATGGGCCCTGACAAATTCGCAGCTGAGGTTTCGCAGCGGAAAGTGCGTGCGATTGGCATGTGTGGCCAGCTTATCCCTCTCCCACCGCTGACGGCGCTTACAGCCTTCTCGTGCAAATCTGGACCGTCGGCAACAGGGGCGTGAGAGGCGTTTGTTAGACTGCGTTCAGCAGTTTGGTCGATGACTCGCGGTGGGCGCGGAGACCCCATACGGGTGCATTTTTGCCGCGCTGACCTCTCTCCCCCGGAGCAGAAAATGTCTGGAATATCTCCATTTGTCTCAGACTTAGATGCCCCGCCGCTCACGACTAGCCATGCCGCCGACAGGCAGGAGAGCAGCGCCCGGCAAGAGAGCCTTGGCGGCAGGACTACGAAGGGCTCGGGCAGAGGGGCTCGTGCTGTTCCAATGGGCGGGGCAGAGGCCTGTGAGCAATGGGAATTTGGCGAGATCGCGGGCGCGCAGATGCACTTGAAAAAACAGCATTTTTTTTTTTTTTTTTTTTTTTTTTTTTTTTTTTTTTTTTTTTTTTTTTTTTTTTTTTTTTTTTTTTTTTTTTTTTTTTTTTTTTTTTTTTTCCTCTTCTTCTTTAGACAGCGTTTACGTTGAAGGGTTCTCTATGTGGTTTCTTTCGGACGGGTATGTGCGAATCCAGATCCAAAATCGGTTGCCCACCTCCCTGAGTCTAGACCCCCAGAGTGTAGACCCCCAGAGTGTAGACCCTCGGATGTGCGAATCCAGATCCAAAGTCGGTAGCCCGAGAGTCTAGACTGCCAGTGTAGACCTCCGGAGTGTAGACCCCCAGAGTGTAGACCCCCAGGG